AGTGAAAGAGAAAAAAAGTCAAGAGTAAAAAAAAAAATTTATATAAAAATTTTTAATTTATTGCTTCATCATTAGTTTGAGCTAATTTTCATAGTGAGTGATTCTGATCGTCATAAAGCATTGGATAATACTATTATTGAATGCTTCGCACCAATAACTGACGTATCTGGTATCGAATTTGATCGTGAGATGTCTGGCTTCTATGGGCCCAGCTATCTTATGATCAAATTTGATGCCAAATATCTCTAGTTATTGTCTGCTACGCATTCAATAACTATATATTATCAATAAATAATAATAACAATAACAATAACGATAATTCTACATAATAAATAATGAGAAAAAGAAAGACTTCAGTATGGAAACATTAGACAATTCTTAAAAAAAACATTACTACAAACCAGAATAATGATCAAGACGAAGACCAAACTGAAGATCAAGTTGAAGACCAAACTAAGGATCAAGTTGAAGATAAATCTGAAAATAATAAACCACACCCTTGTATAAATGCAATTATTGTCCAAAAATTTTTGAACATGGAATTGCAACTAGAATACAAACATATCTTAACTATAATTGTTTGGGTGTACCAGAAAATGCCAATCAAAGTCTAAAAATCAACCAACTACTCCAACCAATATATCAACATCTACTAGTTCGCATACTTCAAAATGGTTAAAAACTATACCAATTCATAATTTTATAGATTATTTAAATAAATAATAACAAGAATCTCTTAAATTTATGTTGGCTCAGGCTTTGTTTGCTACAGGTGTACCCTTTGCTTTTCTTAAAAATCCTTATATAATAAATTTTTTTAATGTATTTACCCTGCATTTAAATTACCAAATTGGAAAAAATTTGCAGATGAACTGTTAGATAAGGTTAATAATGATATTAAAGAAAAATCTAATAAGCAAATTTTAGAAGCATGCAGTTTATGTATGATCTCTGATAAATAGTCTAATATTAATCAGAAATCTGTACAAAATTTTATTATTTGTATGCCAAAACCTATTTTTTTAATGCAGTTTACTTAGGTGAAGTGTCACATATATCAGAATAGATTGCTAATCAAATAATTTAACAAATAGAAGCAGTTAATATTAAAAAATTTTCAGCAGTTATAATAGATACAGCCAATATAATAAAAGCAGCATGGCGTATTATTGAAGAAAAATATCTTAATATTGTTTGTTTTGGATATGCTTCTCATATTTTAAATTTATTAATTAAAGATATCTTGAAAATTTATGATATAAAAACAGTAATTGATAATGCTACAAAGCTGGTTAAATACTTTAAATCATATTCACAAGCAATGTCAAAACTTAAACAGATTCAACTTGACAACTATAATAAAGAAATTGCATTGGTTTTGCCAGCAATAACATGATGGGGTACTCACCTCGAATATCTTCAATTACTTCAAAAATCAAGAATTGCAATTGAACAAACATTAATAGATTTAAGAATTTGTGAAACTATAAATGCAAGTCTTAGAGTTTATATATTAAATGATAAATTCCGAGAAAATCTAGATTTGATTGCAAGTGTTTTATGACCAATCATAGCTATATTAAAACTATTTGAATCAGACAGTACTATATTTTCATCAATTTACTTTAATTTTAAAAAGATGATAAATATAATTTAACAAATTCTATGTAATTTTCTTGATAAAATTCAAACTTTAATTAAAGAACAGTAGAATAATATTTATTATATTATTATGATAGTTGCTTATATGCTTGATCTATAATTTTTAGAAGAAAGCAGAATTTATAATATAAAGCCTATCAGATATAATACAAAATTTGCCAATCTAAAATTTGGACAAGAAAACTCTATAAAATTATTTGTTGAAATTGTTAAATTTCGAAACAAAAGTTCTCTATATAATGATTATATTATTTGGAAGTCAGCTACTATACTTAACCCTGGTATTTTTTTTTTAAACAATTTTAAGATCTATAATTATATAATATTACTAACTAAAAGTATTTAAATTTAACAATTTTTATAGTATTGTGGTGAGAATTATAGCCTGATAGTAGTCTCAAACAACTAATAATCAAAATTCTTAAGATTCCAACATCCTCTGCTGCAGCAGAGCAAATTTTTCTATATTTGGTTTTATTCATAGCAAGCTTTATAATCAGTTACATAATATTCGAGTTAAAAAACTAGTTTATGTTTATGAAAACCTTTGAATATATGCAGAAAAACCAATAAAAAACAAGATTGATACTAGAATTAATAATAGAAAGGTTAATCAGGTTAATCAAGATATTTATAATGATGAAGATATGGAAATTGATAATATAATTTATAAGAAAGAAATTTGTAAAAGCATTGAAGAAGAAATCGAACCAATCTATTTATCTGATATTGATAATAATAGTGGTTCAATAATGGAGTTAAAATTATTAAACAAATAAATCGTTATAGCAAACAATTCTAAGCATTATTTTTGAATTACACTACATGCATATTTGTATACACAAGTATATATATATATTTATCAAATTTCAATTGAATTTAATATAAATAAAATTTTTATGTATTTGATATTTCTTACTTCAGTACTTGATCATATTATTAGTTTTACATAAACTATATCTATATATATAGCTATTATATGGTTATTATATAGTATAATAATGTGGTATATATACCAAATTTTATTATATAGTATAATTTCTATCCCTAACTGTGACCTTGTACCCAGAGTTTAAAATTGGCATGCACAAGATGCATATATGTATGAATTTTTTTTAGATTTTTTTGAATTTTTTAAAAATTTATTAAGTGTGCATGTAAAATTTTTAAAAAAAGATGCACAAAATACATTTGTGCATGTAAATTTTTTTTTGAATTTTAAATACTGCTTGTACTACATTTTTGATCGGCCAATTTTGATCATGAGACCTAGCCACAATGCTTACAAAAAGAAAGAAGAAAATATTAGTGAAGATATTATAGAGAATAAATTACTCAATATAGAAGTAAAATAGCACTTATCTGAATCTAACACCATTGCTATAAACCTAAAATAACTCTGATTACTTAGGCCAAATCTTTTCACACCTCGATCGAAGCCTTACCAATATTAGGATTTGGTCATTATAGTTATAGTATCCTAGTTTGGATAGTTTAATTATTATTAATATTTGTAGTAAGTTGTCATATTTTGGCCCAGTAACTTTTCTAACGTGACTCATACTTTTTTAATATATGTACTGTTACAGTACCGTAGCCTTCTTAATAGCAGTACTATAACAATAACACAGCTACAGGGATCCTTCACAGGTTTATAGCAGTGTCTAACAGGTAAGTATAATTTCTACTACAACTAGAAACTATAC